ACACACACACACACACACACACACACACACACACACACACTCTCTCTCTCTCTCTCTCCCTCCCTCCCGCACTCTCTCTCTCTCTCTTTCTCCCTTCTCTCTTTCCTTCTTCTGGATGCGACGAATGTGTTGTAAACTGGGTCGTCAAGACGATTATCTCCTCGGATGTAACTACCGGTAAGGGATAGATACGGGCATTATTATTACGCTCGAGAGATTCCGCGGAGTCGTAGCCAAATCGAGTAGGATACTTTCGATTGCTTACGGCCATCTATTCCCCGGAGTTATTTCTACGAGACTTCCTACATTGTTGACTCGCGCTACTCGCAGTACACACGCGCGCGATAAATCCGTACCCGGTATAAGTTGTCGTTGCGCGAGAGCTGCGCTCCACAATTTCCATGACGTGCTTTTATACGTGTTATACATCGAACATTTTGCGGAATAAAGTTATGGAGCGACAACATGAAAGCAATAATAGCAATGAAAGGATAGGAAACACCGGATGGATTTTCACAATATATTGACGCGTCTACGATCTGTCTTTTTTTTCCATTTTTCGATCACGTCTCGATCCTCGCATCTTTCTATGTTGTATTTTCAAAAATTTTAAACAGAATTTTCTAACAAATTATCATGTATATTAAGTAATCAAAAAAATTCATGAATAATGTTGAGAACATCGTAAAATTCGTATTTACCGGAAAATTTTTCGCAATAGTTGTGCAGAAAAAAATGAAGCCACGTTGAATGAAGGAGCTTACCGCTGATTGTCACAAAATTTATAACAATGAGAAACGAAGAACGCTTAGAAAATTCTTGGAAACATTGTCAAATCGGCACACGTGACCGCGAGCAAATCGCGTCGACAAAGAAGGTGGAAATAAACGTTATAAAGGAAAAGAGGAGATGAGGGGGAAAAATGCGCGCGCGCGAGAGGTGAGAAATCGAGCGAGAGGGGAAAAAAATATCCTATGAATTCGTGAGTGACTTCGGATATCACGTTCGGTCCCGCCTGGCGGAGATTTTCTATGACTTTGTAGTCCGCGATATATCCGGAGTCCGTTTGCAAGTTTAAACCGCACCTTGCGTCGTACGTGTCGCAAATATATTTCCACGCATAACGTGCAAAGATTTCCCGTTTCGCTATCGCCGCCGCAATTTTATAGAATGGCATCGCTGATATCTTAACTGCCAGATTCCATAATTATCCGACTTACCGATCATGTTATTTAATTTGCAAGAATCTCACATGAGTTACTTCTTATTTCCAAAAAAAAAAAAAATCATTTCTTCTGTAAACATCTACAAACACATCGTACTCTTAAATGTTTCACAAGTTTTATTATCACTTATTATCAAATTAAAAAGAATTGAAAGAAGAATTAAAAAGAAATTATTTTTTTCAGAAGTAAGAGAGAACTCATGTGAGATAAAATTTAATTTGATAATAATTAATGATTGATAATAATTAATTTGATAATAATTAATTATTATCAGATTAAATTTTATTTCACATGAGTTCTCTCTTATTTCTGAAAAAAATCATTTCTTTTATAAACACACGTAAATATCGTAAATTCTTAGATTTCACAAATTTTATTATTTCTATAATTTAAATTTGACAGATTATACGGTTTATCTTAACTGGATCTCATAATTATCCGACTTATCATATATGTTATTTAATTCACAAGCATCTCACATGAGTTATCTCATGTTCAAACAAAAAAATTATTTCTTTCGCAAACACATCGTAAATTCTTAAATGTTTCACAAGTTTTATCATTTCCGCAATTTAAATTTGTCAGCTTGACAGTTTATGCGTTTTATTAGGTTTATAACCCTATAAGTATTATCTTTGTAGCCGAACCTAAATCACAAATTCGACGGCAATTGGTACCATTACACGTTCCCAGTAAACGTAATTCAAAATGTGCGAGCGTAATTAGTGGGCCACGATGAAAACGCATAGATCGTGCCGATTAAATATCTACGTTTGAATTTATGTTCGATTTTCATGCATAGCTATCGGAAAATGTAATTACGCTTATGACATTTAATGCGGAGTTATGTAATTACACATTGAGCTTTGTACGTGCCGTAAATCGTACGGTTCGTAGTTCGATCAAACTCGCGTGCGATCGTTACTTACGTCCAACGGTTATTTGATCATCCAGAACATATTTATCTCGACTTTGTGGTCCGGTGACGCTGCCTCTCATCGACTTCTGAAAAAAAAAGAAACAGAAAGAGAAAGATAGAAAAGTTCGTCAGAAGGATCAAGGGTATCATGTCAAATTTCATTTCGCGGTAAAGTTAACGTAAACGCGTATTGTGCTCTAAAAGGAAATAAAATTAAATATTCACGCATTCAAAATGATATCAAACACACTCGTATCGTACGCCTGGCGAAACCGCAAATTGGATGCGTAACCGCGAACGAGTAATCATTATACCTACATCGTTTCAAAGTCCAAACATCCCGACATCATCATTATTCGGTTGATACATCGGAGAAATTTCAATCGTCAATCTCCCGTGAATCATCCTCCCGTTATCCCGATAATTTCACACGCGTGTACGTCAGAAGCGTGGCGCGGAGCGTGGCGGCGGCGGAGATAAAAGTCTGTCGACTTTTTTAACTTCAGACTTTGGCGAAGTCGAGGCGGAACGCGATTCGGGACAGGAACGAGCTGGATGGTTATTCACGAATCCGTCGAATATCGACAATCTCGTTCTCGCAAACTTTACAGGAATACTCTCGCAAGATTTCTCGCGCGGCGTCGCAACGGCGTGTACTCTGCTGAAATTAAAATCGATACTCGTAGAAGGAGGGGGGAGGAAGAGCGAAAAAGAGAGAAAAATAGAAATAACGTCTGGATTTTACTCCTCCCGCTCCCGCTCGCGTTTATAAAGCCGTGCAAAATCGTCGAAGAAGGGAACGTTTGGATAAATAATCATTCTGCAGAGTGCGAATCTTGCATGGGGTGGGAAAGGAAGGGAGAAGAGGGGCAGGGGAGGGGGAAAATGCCCGATAAGGTGGGCGAATAACGAAGTGGAAGAAGCGAGTCGTAAAGCAGCGGGAATAAATAGTCGAGCGTCAAGTCGGCGACCAAAGTTTGCGAACGCGCAAATCCTGAGGGAAGTCTTGAACGAGAATTCCACGTGATCGTCCTCTTCCTTCTCTTCCGATTCCGTGCATTCTTCATGTAATTATTTTATCACTACAAAACAGCATCGCTATACTTTCGAAAGTTTGCAGCTTCATCAGTGTGTATATATATATATCGATCATTTATCTGTCTATAAGACGAATAAACAAAAAAATAATCCAATGACGTATTGCATAGTCAATAAGTATTATTCCAAAAACATTACAAAGAAGATTAAGAAAGCATCAATACGCCGTAAAAAAGAAAGTACGTCGTAAAAAGAAAAGTCTAGGGATTTAATGTATAAACCATGTATATGGTTGTGTAATCTCGTGTTATGTAACAACTTCGGGGATATTATTTCCTCCGAAAGAGGATAATCATGTTCGTGTAAATGTTCGGCGAAGTTCGTTCATTGATGTTTCCTTATTTAAGTGTCCTAAGGAAGTTGAGTGAAATTTTGAATGAGGAGGAAGGAAGAAGCGAAGTGGCGGTGCGCGAGAATAGTGATGGAATGCCCGGTCAAAATTTACGAGCTATACTTTCTCACCGGAAATTCTCGGGATATTCGTGAATACCATCGCGTCTCCGAAATCGCAAACCACGTTTCGTACACTCAATATTGTTCTCCTCCTCCTTTTACTGGCACAGCTGCGTTCACATTTTAAGAATATAAACCGTAGTTAATCCAATTTCACTTCGGCTCCTCTGAGCGACGCTCGTGTAAAATGGCGAAAAGTTTAAATATAAAATATATATAATAAGAAATTTTAATCTAATAGAAACAATTAAGTATAAATTTTCAAAAAGTCGACGTACGGCAATCGTATTTTCCCCATCTTTATTCAAGATAAAAATTATTCTTAATAATTATATCTTTATTCTAGAGAGAAGTTTTGAGATTTTACAAGACGATATTTTCATAGATTCCGTAATTTTTACGCGCTGATGGGAAGCATTATTTAAAAATAAACTAATTTCTTCCTGTGATGACGTATTCTTTTTTTTTTAATGAGAAAATCTTTTGCGCAATGTATCCGCAGACGCGATATTCATATAAAGAACATTTAATTTGGTCGTCATGGAATTTATGAGGAAGACAAACCGCGAATCGGCAAAAAAATTGAGAGATCGGCAATTGAAATGAATAGTGGAATATATCCGACGTGACGATTCTAGTTTACGGCTAATAGAAAAACCCTGAAGATTTCGAACATCGATATTCTCTCACGTGTTCGCTCTTTCCGTTTGCTCTCTCGAAAATCATTTCTGGCATTTTTCGCGGATAATCTCAAAGAGTTAATTTATAAAAATTTATAAAAAAGAATTTCACCGCGTTAATAATTTTTTCTTTCATACACAAAGATTTTAATGTAATAAACTCATTAAAAAGGTAAAGCTGTTTTTAGACTTTGCTTTTTTGCAAAATTCATGCCATTAAAATTCTCAAGAGAATACATACATATCCAAAGTTATTCGCCAAATAAAAAAGTACTGTTTTCCTTCGCAGGATTCCGGTGTTCCATGGAGCATGGTTCCAGAAATACTGCAGTAGAAGGACGTTGAAAACGATGTGCCGAGTGCCGCCAGCTGAATTCCGGTCACAGGCGGTCGAGTACGAGTCGCAAGAACTTTCGTTTCCCGGAGATTCCATAATTTCGTACTTATCGCCGCGGGCAAGAACGACGCGATCGAATCAATAATAATTAAGGAACAATGCTCGCCGACGTGTGCCGGTTATGTAAACGTAAAAAAAAAAGAAATGTTTGCATTAGATTCGACGAACGGGAAAAATAACACGGGAAAAATAACGCGAAAACGCGGCACGCTGACTGTTCGTGTTTGCGTTCGATTTTTTACGAGCTCATGTAAGCTATGGAATAATAATCGCGCGCGGAAAAAAATCCAAAATCGATTTATTCGCATCTGATATCGGCGGGAATAAATGTCGTCCCCTCCCCTCCCCTCCTCCCCCTCTCCCCCGTTCAAACGAAATATTCACAAAAAACTCATTTGCGACTGGATGATTTATGGGCGGAACACAGATTTTCTCCATAATTTATCGTCTCATCTCCCCTCTGAGGACTTTATTTATGAAGTAATTTATGTGTGAAGTAATAAGATGGCAATAAGTCGCAACTATGTCGGCGCGACTAAAAAGCAAATATCATGTCATCGTAAAGTTCTCGATGGACACATCCATTCAATCGCAAAGCAATCTTGATTTACGATACTATCGAAATTCAGAATTAATGATGCAACGCAACATAACGTCCGGAAGAACTCGCGCTTTATGCTCGAGGAACGTTTATGACGAGAGATGAATCAACTCGAACAGCGCGCCGTTAATTGCGTTATTGAATTGTATTACGTTGCTTCTTTCAGTCAAGCTGTGTTCTTAATTAGCAAGCATCCACATTCGTCGAAGATGAAGGCGGGACGGAGGTAAGGCGGAGAAGAGGGAGGGGGAGGGGGTGGAAGACTTCGTTAATGAAACGCCTACGGCAACGTCAAGCGCGAAGACGCTGAAAACGGTCGGAGGTTACCCGATACGTCGTTGTAAGCCAGGAGTTTAACAATCTGACAAAATGGATAGCATATTGAATTCGTCACACAGAAGTGTATATATTTCGCACGCGCAAAAAACAGCAGGTTCCCGTCGAGTGCACTATGGAAAAACGATCGCGTAGCACAAAAAACAGTACTTCTCTTCATCCGAGAGAGAGAGAGAGAGAGAGAGAGAGAGAGAGAAGCGAGAGATACAAAC